ATAATGTGGATTAACTGAGCTTCTGAGGATGAAAGGGTCGAGTACAAGTTCTCGTGCCTTCCCCTCCCCCACGCTCACACGGATAGGTGGTTCCTCCACCTCCCTGGTTTCTCAAGGCCTTTGCGAAATCTTTCTTCATCCCTCAGATCCAATGGCTCATCAACTTCCATCAATTTCATATCTTTAGCATCTCTCAAAGGCATAATCTCACCACATTTTTGCTCAGGCCTGCAGAACCCTTTATATAGGCTACTGTGGTAACTTATTAACTGGTTTCTAGGTCCCACCCTCCACTCCCAGACCTGAGCTCCCAGGGCGGCTATCCATGCTCTCTCCCAAGGATGAAGGCCAGGCTCCCACAGACACCAAGTGCCTCAGCTCTCCTCCTCGGCCTCATCGCCCACCGTTCACCTCCTTGTTGTGATGACAGTAACAATATTCATAGTTATAATTTACTGAGAGTTTTTATATGCCAGTCATTGCATTAGGCATTTGACACCTATGAACACATTTCAATCTTTACAACAACCTTATGAGATAAGTAATTTACTCGTCCCTATTTTATAGATGGAACAAGTAAAGTCCAAACACATTAACTTTCCCATATCATTCAACCCCCAGTGAACTGGCTTCAGGTCCACCCTCTTAGCCACTGCGCTATATTATATCACCGCTTCAAACTTCACGCTTCTGCAAGACTGAGTTATGCTTCTGGCTCTTTATGCTCCAGCAATACTGAGCTATGTATAGACCCCTGAAGGCTGTGCTGCCAAGGCCCCTATGCCTTTGTACACACCATTTATTCTGCCCCTTGGGAAGGCCCTGTCCTCTGTCTCATGAATACCAACTTCGCCTTCAAAATCTCCTGGAGGTGTTGCCTTTTCTAGGTGGTGTGTGTCCCAGCCCCTGAAGATAAAATCTCTCTTACCCACTGACCACTCCTATGGCCTAAGTGTACCTTGTAAGTACTTCTCTGTAGCCGAGTTTGCGATGATTCGTTTGCATATCCTCACTGATGGCAAGCCCAGGGCTTTCAGCTTTGGGTCATGGTGCCCAGGCACACAATAGATGCTCAATAAACTGGGATTTAACTAGGCTTTCCATAAAACGGATGAGTACAAGTTCACTAATACTCAACATGTCAGGTAAGGAGAGAAGTGTATTCTCCATACTTTTTAAAGACAACATATTTATGAGCAAACAAACAACAAAAAATCACCAAACACTACAGATGTTTCTGAGGGGAAGATGCAGTGTACATAAAAATTCAATACATTCTGACAACTACAGCAGTTAGTTGAAGATCCTTGAATATACCTGCTGTTCATAGCAATTGCTGAGTAATGTGAATTCAGCAAAAAAAAAAACACACCAAAAAAAAACCCCAAAAGAACTTTTATCCCATGGGGTTCTCAGAAAAATATATTTGGAAGCTTGCTCAAAGTTATTTTCTGAGTCACCTGCCCACAGGCATGGATAAGGGTTTTATTGATTTAGGTCATTGAGGTTTGAAGATTATCACTTAAGCACAATGAAAACATGACATATTTCTGACCATTAAAATTAACAATCAAGCATCTTCTAGGTGCACTACACTGTACTTAAGAAAAAGTAAAGGTAAACCTCAAAACGGGGCAGCAACATTTAGAAATCAATGGTAGCCCTTTCTTTACAGAGTGCCATAGAGAGATATAAGTAAAAGATGCTTGATCCCTTCCCCACAACATCTTGAATCCAGCAGGAAAAGATAAGATGTTACAAACTTAAGGCAGGCAAACTCATTTCCATTCTAAGATGTGATGATTTCTCAAGTGAATGGAATGTCCACAGGCCTATGACATTTACAGTCTCTAAAGCATGAAATTATTACTTCATTTTAAAACAACAAATTTTGGTTGAAATAATCTGCGCATTCAGCCTAAATTTCTGTCCCTCAACGCAGCAGGTAAATAAATGGTTGTATGGAGACCGCCTTGAGGAAATAAGAGAAGGGGAGAGAAGTGCAAAGCCAGTCATAAAAAAGAAACTGTTTCCAATGGAACATGTGAGCTTTACACCAAAGCAGCAGACAACATACATCCAGATAACCCAATGTCTGCCAAGGTCGAGACAGAAAATAATGCTGGGAACAATATATCATCTTTGGGACACAGCACAGGGCCCAGGCCTTTAGCTCATCAGTCCTCTGCAAGAGTCCAGGCCTGGAGTAAGTCTGTAGGCATCTTTCCCCAAGATCCCAGGGAGTTACAGGCCCAGGCAGGGCTCCGAGTTGGAGAAACCTTTAAAGTTTCCTGTGAGAGTTGCACAAGCCAACAAACCAGTGTCATGCTGAACTGGTAAGGCAGATGGGATGTAGCAAACCAAAGCTCTTCCATGATGGCAATTTCTCCCATAGATTCAAGGAAAGAGTCTGCAATCATTCAGCCTCTTTCTTTTGTAAGGTAAGTGGCACACACCCTATCCCTTGGAGCTCTAAGGCGCTCATCCACAGGCTCAAAACAAGATTTTACTCTTTCACAGACACAAGAAGCTAATATTAAAGAAAGGTTAAGATGAAGTCCTCTAAATTACAATGTTAATCAGAACAAGTCACTGGGATAAAATACGCAAAATGAATGAAAGTCAGTGAGAGTGCAGAAAAGCAGCGAGGCTTGGGCAGGGGAGTATCCAAGGAATAAAGCACATCCTGCTGTGGGCAAGGGCAAGGCGTCCTCACCTCGACACTGGGCACGCCCTTGGCGAGGCTGGCAGAAGGAGAGGCCACCTTGGGAATGGAGAGGTCTTTTTCAAAGGATTGCGTTAGGGAACCTGACCAGCTACATAAGGAGCAGGGTTAATGTGGGCCTTGGAGAAGGAGACAGGACTTAGAGTTAAGCGAGGTCACAGCAGGGGAAGAGCCACACTGTAAGCATATGCTACATGTCCTTAGGGAAGGTCACCAAGCTGGAATTGATCACTGCATAATAAGGGAACACAACAGCTACACACACTGCCCTAGAGAAGAGGAAATCTGCCCTTCATCTTCTCAAACTACATAATACAGTGATGCTGGCCTTTGAAACCAACAATAAGTAGAGATATGTACTGATGATCTTTAGGACACATATTCCAAACTCTGATCTTAGAAGCCCCTGGTAACAAACAGGCTGTGACAACCACTACTGTTGGGAGGTGGGGAAGAAAATCCCCCTCCATCTGTTTCACACAACTAAAAATAGGGGTCCATGATTGGGGGGGGGTGGAGACAGCTTCCCCAATTCCTATTCTCCCATTCTGCTGGGAAGAACCCAGGTTACTTTAGAACCCGGGCTCTCTGCCAGCATGAGCTGTCTGAATTGGAGTGTTCTGGGCTGGAGAGATACTGCCCTAAAGCTGAGCTCAGACCAGCCTGAGAATTCTTCAGGCATCTGACTGTCTCAACAACACTATCAACAGGTAGGTAGAGGGAAGAAAGGCTCCAACTGCTTTTCAGGTTTACACACACAGGCGTGATGCCAGTGCAGACTTATCTCTGCGAGAACTGGCTCCGGGAGAGAGGAGAGTCTGCATCACAGCCAGGACTACACAACATACACATATCCAAGGGCTCCAGACAAACTGGAAAGGTAAGGAGTTAGGAGACCTACTGCCGTGGAGAGCAGAGGCCTTGTTCACGTACAGCACATGTCTCTTCAGCTGATTCGTTGTTTTGGGGGGTTGGTGCAAGGATGACACAGCTTGAACAAAAACTACCAACACCGCGTGTCTCTGAACATATATGGAATGAGAAAAAGCATAAGTACCCTATTTAAAAGGCACAACTTTAGAATCTAACATGGTTTAGCAGTGCCAACACTGTTCAAGTTCCATTAGCAGGTAGATATGACCTAAAAATACCTCTCTCACACACACAAGCACGCACTTGTGTTTGCTTAATTAATGAATATATGCGTATGTATAAATAGCATATATGTGAGTATTCCAGGATGCATCTGAAATGTAAAAAATACCATGGGAAATTTTAAAAATAAAGCGAAGGATTAAGTTCTCCAAAGTACTATATATCTGCATTTTTTTGCTACAAAAAGTTACAGGTATAACCAAACAGAATGAACCATATTTTCATGTGTTCTTTAAACACTGCAGTAGAAAGATTATGAGGCTCCAAATCTGATAGCCTGCATCCTGTTTATTTGGCTGCCCCGTTGCTCTCATGCATATTCACGTGTATGTGCAAGGCAAAGTTGTGAAGAAGAACAAAAAACCTGTATTTACACAACTCAGAGGGTGTGCCCCTCAAAAACCACAAGAGTGCCCCTTTCTGTGCCGGACATCAACGTGGAGAGAGGAGAAACCGCTCCTTCAAAATCATGTTCTCTCGGCCCAAGCGCCAGCAAGCACCTCTAACCTGCCTTTCACTTGTGGCATGAGCTTCATCTTGATTGTAAAAGTCTTTTTTCCTCCCACCTATTCTGTCAACGATATGTTACCAAATGAAAAGGCCAGCCCTGTATTAGAAACAAATGTCAGCAAACCAGTAAAAAAAAAAAAGGGGGGGGGCAAAGTTATGCAGACCTGTCTCTTTAAGCAGACAATTCAAAACAGGGTAACTGAACTATCTTTGTACAGCACATCTGCATCTTATAAAGGTCAAATGTTTAATAGAGGGGACATCCGAAAGGCTCTACAAAGAGAAGCAGAAGCCCTGAAGTCCGGGTGAATGAAATGGATAAACAGGATCAGATGAAAGAGACAAAGTATCTCCCCCCCCTTCCCTTTTTCTCGCCCCACCGCCCACAATCCAGCCTCAGATTATCCACATTTCAAAAGAAGAACCCTGAGAAGTCCATTCATCAGGATCCCCCGCCCTGAAGTCCACAAGGAGGAGAGAATACCTGAAACAGTGCCCCCTTGGCAGGGGATGAACTTTTCAAACTGTCTCCCCATGAACAAAACCCCCATTTCTAAGGCAGCCAGCCAGCGCGTTCCCTCTCCCCGCAAAGGAGCCCCGCGTGTTTTACCTTTGTGTTCGCCGCAGCCTGTTCCCACTCCTCAAATGAGGCAAAGTAAAGTTTGAGAGCACAGTCCAAAAATTGGGGTCAGACATATCCATTCCTTCCTGGAATCCACTGCGGGTTCAAGGCCATAAAAACCAAACCGGGGAAGGGGAGGGGGCTCCGGCTGACGCCCGCGCCCCGCGCAGGAGCGCTCCGGCGAACTTGGGGGGCGGCTGAGAAGTCGGGTCCCGGCCTTCCGCGGCCACCCCACGCCGAGGCCGGGCGCCCGCAGCCGGGCTGGCCCTCTCC